CATGTGTGCTGTGGAGAAAAGGACTTCATTAAGGCTCTTCTTAAGGCTTCCTACCTAAGGGTGCTAAGAGTATCTGAAGGTAGCAGCCAGGCCAGGCACAATGGCTCATGCCTGTAATCCCAGCAATTTAGGACGTCGAGGTGGGAAGATCGCTCAAGCCTGGGAGGCTGAGGTTGCAGTGAGCTATGATTGCGCCACTGCACTTCGGCCTGGGTGACACAGCAAGACCCTGTCTCTTAATAGGCCAGGTGCAGTGGCTCACGCCTGTAATCCCAGCACTTTGGGAGGCCGAGGCAGGTGGATCACCTGAGGTCAGGAGTTCAAGACCAACCTGGCCAACATGGTAAAACCCCATCTCTACTAAAAATACAAAAAATTAGGTGGGTGTGGTGGTGGGGGCCTGTAATCCCAGCTACTCTGGAGGCTGAGGCAGGAGAATCGCTTGAACTCAGGAGGCAGAGTTTCTGGTGGGCTGAGATTGTGCATTGCACTGAAATCTAGGTAACAGAGCGAGACTCTGTCTCAAAAAAGAAAAGAAAAGAAAGATAGCAATCACAAATGGCTTAGCACAGAACCTGTGTCTAGCGTCTGTTTTCCTGTGCTACTTTAGCTACAGGGCATTAGCCTGCTGATTAAATTGTTTATCACATCCTAGTAGTTCTAGAATTGTTGGGGTCTTCAAGGTGAAGTATCACAGCTCAGTGATAACATGACTTGCTTGTGAATCGGCTGTAATCGTCAGAACCCCAGGTCCTAAACCCTTCAAGAGTAAATGTAGATGTAGGCTTTTGGGTGTCTGTCTGCCTTGTTACTCCAATTTGTTTGTCGCTATGTCAATGTTACAAAGACAACAAACTAAGCACGAGAACATCTGTTTCCCTGAGGCTGGTTATAGGATTCAAAGAATGAACTCCAGGTATTGATGAGATGAGTAGAAAGAGAGGGAAAAAATACAGTTTAAAAAGTTAGCTCAGCCAACGCTGATCAGAAAAATAAAGAGGGTGTTTTGGGATCATCTTATTTAGACAAACTAGAGACTAAGTGATTTGTGTCTATCTTCCTGACTTGATTTTATTCCCTGAGAGCAGAGCCTTTGCTTGTTTTCTCCTCTGTAGGACATTCCCGTGTCTAGTTCAGGGCTTGGCACATAATAAGCACTCAGCAAATGTTTGTTGAATAACTAAACGAATCGAAAGGGGAGTTGTAATCACGATACTAGAGATCAGAACATAGAACTGACCAAAGGAAAAGATAGGGGAAGAGGTTCATTGGGAGAGGTGAATATTCTTTTCCACTGGTATCTTTGTCTTTGAATATCCTTGCTTTTCATGAATAAATAGAGAAATGTGTAGAATCATTTCTTACCTTATGGTTCCTAGCATATAATGGAAACTCATCTAGCAATCATAAGCAGGTAAATATTTACTCTTATATGAGAAAAGACTTCTTTCCAATGGTCCTAGAAGCCAGAAGCAGTCTGCAGATGGTTTTTGCTCTGATCTCAGAGACATTATAGCCAAGACCACTTTGGAGCTCAGAAGTCATATGAATTCTCATTTCTGACAGAGTGACCTGGCAGGGGGCTCCTTCTGCTCCATCGGTGGCACATTCGAAGCAGAGGACTTTGTTGACTTTCTACCCTCTTTCTAAAAACGTTTGAACTTTAGTTTTCAGTACATAATGCAACAGTGCTCCATAAAAGCAGGTCTATGGAGGCAACACAGATGAGACCAACATCCCTGGACTGTTTAGCATGGCCCCTCTCTGCAATGGAAACCTAACACAGCATGAGGTGGGTAGCCAGAGTTGACTTAGAAGAGCTTAACTGATTTGATTCAACACTTTAAATCAGCTCTAATGTGGCACATTAGTAATGCCACCATATTGCAAATGATACATCCACAGAAGCATTAGTCATTACACAAATAGAATGAATAGGTTTCACTACACTTCAAGGTAAACATGTCGAAACACTAACTGCATTCACTCAGGGCCTTTTAAGCTTGCTCAGGGCCCTTACCTGGCTGTTAGAATAAATACAAAGTTTTATGGCTTACTTTCTCTGTATAACTTTACCATCACCCAGTACAAATTCGGGTTAGAAATTGCAGTTGTGCACATTGACACATTTATTTATTCTTTCTATTACTTAGTAACCTATTGTTTTCTCAGCTTGGTTTAACAGCGTATTGTTCCCTGACGTTGATCACAGGATTCCTAAGTACCATTTTTGTTAGAGGGCAAAAGCTTAGAATGGTTCTGTGTCTCAAAAAGGGTGAGTCAAGAGAGTAGGCAGTATTATGTCATGGTTAGAACAAGAATTTGAGAGTTAGGTTCACCTGGATTTGAATTCTAGTTTCATCGCTATGTGTATAAACTCAGGAATGGACTTCAGTTCTCTGAACCTCCATTTTCTTTGTGAAGTGGCTGTGAAACCCCTCACCTCTCTCCATTTTGACATCGTGCATATCTTTGCCTTTTTATACACCTCCCAGAATTTCAAGCATCAAGAAAAGATCCTTGAGGATGAGCCAGGTCATGAAGGAGGAGGAGAAATGTAAGGTGGCCTGGGAAGGAAAGGTAGCACTGGCTGCAGGAAGGGGCATCGCCTTTAGTGGTTACTATAAAAGCAAAGGTGTGTTGATGGCAACGTGATGGCCAGGTAAGAAGTGGGAGCAGTGTGGACCACAAAAATACCAGTTTAATGACAAGGAAAAAGGGGGTGGTATAGGAGACACTAGGAGAGGTTGGAAGGGACTGTGCTGTAGAAGGCAGAGAATACAAGATTTTACAGAACGTAACAAAGTGAGAAACAGGCTTCACGTCCAAAATATTTCAAACAAGTTCTCTTATTTCCTTTAACGATCAACAAAGCATTTTGCAAACACCAGTTTCTAAAACAAGGCAGCTTCCAAGGCACGTTAAAAACACGTCTGAGAGTTATAAACCCATACAGCATGTAGGAATATGTGCATTCTCAACAGCTGGTTCCTAAATGGTGTGTGCCTTAGTTTCTTCCTTTATAAAAAGGAGAATGATAATGTTGGTAATCATGACTATGCTGTAAGGTTATCGCAGCATTTCATCAAATATAAAAGGCATGGTGCTCTGTACTTTGTATAAAGTAAGTGCTTAATCAATATCAGCTATTTGTGTGTGTGTATGTGTGTGTGTGTAAAGAGATGTCTTGTAAGATGTTCCATCAATGTATAGACCATGGTCACTTCTGATTCGTGGGATTTTAAGTAATTTTTACCTTTTTTGGCCTTTTTGCTATAATTTGAATTTTCCCAATAAACATGCATTATTTGTGTAAAAACTATAAAGCTATTCTAAAAAAATCTATACTTAGCAATGAAGCATTTCAGGTACTGTAGTTGAGTGGGATGCAGCTTTTCTTGTAACAGCCTTTCCAATGATCAGACTGAATAGTTAACCCTTCAGTGCTAAAAACTCTACTTCAGAAAAAGTCCTTGTTTTACATTTTCGTAATTAAATGGTCTATTATAGGTGGGAGCTTTTTACAAAACAAGGAGTTCCTTAAAGGTAAGAAGAGTCTCCTCCACTGAGAATACTTAGGCTTACAGCTTTGAAAGGATAGATGTTTGATTTTTAGTTTTTGAGTCTTCCATCTACTGTTCATAGATTTTGAAGACAGAAGACAATCAAGCATCCCCTAGGAGACAGTTAACTTCATTAGGACAGGGAAAGTACAATTCACCTTTGTATTCTCAGGCCTTGACACAGAGCCAGGCAAGGAGTAGGTACTATATAAATATTTTATATTGAATGAATAAGTGGACAAATGAATGGTAAGTTTAATGGCTGAGTTTCTGCTTGGGAGATGGAGTCACACCCTTACATACTAACATTTGATTAGAAAATGTAGAAAAATTAAATGGGAGCAAAGTGATTTTAACTAGGAGCACACATAAGACCAAAATCGAAGTAGAAAATTCAATGACCCTTTATTGAAGGCCTATAGCATGCCAGGCCCTGATCTATGTGTTGAGGACTCACTTGTGAAGAGAAACTTAATTACAGTGGGGAATACAGACTTTGATCAAGTCATGACATGTGGGAAGTGAGTCCCAGCAGGGAAAGAGCTGGATGCTTTTGCAGCATATGATGGGGGCAACTAGTCTAGGTAGGGTGCAGTGGGGAAAGCAGACATGGCCAGGGAAGGCCTTTGTAAGAAATTGGCATTGAGGTTGAGACCCAAGGTTGATGAGAAGGAGCAAGAAAAGTCAAGAGTGGCAGACAAAACATTCAGAAGTTTCCAAGGTGGAGAGAGAGAACAAGTGAGGGGACCACATGTACAAAGATCCTAATCTGGGGAAGAATTTGTGATGTGTGAGGAACAGAAAGAAGGTCAGTGTGACCAAGGCACCTGCGAGAAATGGACCATGGCAGGGATCGTATCACTCAGGGCAGGGCCATGGGAGGAAGTGGGGATTTTATATGAAGGGCAATGGGAAGATCTTGAAGAGCTTTACCGTGAGAGTAATCATAATCTTATTTATATTTTCAACATGGAATAGCTGCTGGATGATAGAGGGAGTAGAGTGAAGCTGAGTGGAGGCAGAAGATAGTCAGGTGAGAAATAAGGGTGAGCTGGTCTAGGACCTGGGTCTATCTGTAGATTGTAGACATGGGTTAAACTCAAATGCCTGAAGTAGAAAAAAAAAAGATTGTAGATATGGAAATAAGTGGATGGGTTTGAGCTATGGTTTGAAGGTAAAACTGATAAGACTTGGCGCTGAATTGAAAGTGGAAGGGCACCATCTAACAGCAGCCATCATTTTTCATCCCAGCACTCTCTCCCCCAACCTCCATTCATGGTTTTGTTTTTCTCCCAGGTACTTGTTACCATGGCACATATTAAATTTTATTTGCTTTCTCACTTTTAACAATTATCTGTTTATTACAGCTTGACATTTGTCTGTTTTGTTTAATGTCTTATTCCTGATGCCCCAAACATTCTTGATGCATACTAGGTATTCAATAAATACTTATTGCCTTATTGAATAAGGACCTGGGTCTATCGCTTAGTAATTTAATAAATGAAAAAGTAAATGAGGGTGAGAGACAAGGTAAGTAAAGACTGTTTTTAGTTGGCTATTGCTTCATAACAAACAAACCCAGAATCTCAGTGGTATACAACAACAGACGTTACTTTTTCTCATTCTTCGGTCTGTGAATCAGCGTGGGTAACTGTGCTTCAGGCTTGCAGGTCTGTTGAGCTAGGCTCTGACTGTGGGTTGGGATCCACTCTGCACCATGCGCATTTTCATTTTCCTTGGACTAATGTCTACATGGGGTCTGTTCTTCTAATCTGGATGGAAAAAGCGCAAAAGACCAAATTCAATTTCTTTTTTTTTTTGAGGCGGAATTTCGCTGTTGTTGCCCAGGCTGAAGTGCAGTGGGGCAATCTCGGCGCACTGCAACCTTGGCCTCCCAGGTTCAAGCGATTATCCTGCCTCAGCCTCCCGAGTAGCTGGGATGACGGGCAGGTGTCACCATACCTGGCTAATTTTGTATTTTTAGTAGAGATGGGATTTCTCCGTGTTGGTCAGGCTGGTCTCGAACTCCCTACCTCAGGTGATCTGCCCACCTCGGCTTCCCAAAGTGCTGGGATTACAGGCATGAGCCCCGGTGCCTGGCTTGACCAAATTCAATTTCAAAGGATCAAGAAAGCATATTTCACCTTCTCTAGTGAAAGATACGCAAAGTCACCTAGCAAAGTATATAATTCCACAACAGGGAGAGACTGAGGGTTAAAGAACTATAATCTAGTCTTCCGATATGACAGCTAGGTATGACTTGAGCAACTACCTGGATGAAACTGCCATTTATTGATATTAGGAAGGTTGGAGCAGGAATAGGTTGGGGAGAGAGGATAAAAATTAGGAGTTCAACTTTTGACCTGATAAATTTAGTGAGACTGCCAATGACAGGAATCACAGGTGATAGAAATGTAACTAGCTTAAGCAGAAGCAGAATATACTGGTGAATGTAATTGGAAAGTCTAAGGAGGACCTTCAGAGCTTCAGGTACAGCTGGATCCAGGGACTCAAGAAATTTTGTCAGGGATTTGACTTAGCTTCTGCTTCTCTGATCTGTTTCTGTCTTTTGGCTTCATTTCCAAGCAAACTCCCTCCATATGGTGAGAAGACTCCTGGCAGCCTCAGAGTCACCGTTAGCTTAGCAATGATAGTAAAAAGAAGGACTTTTCTCTCTCAGCATCCATACATCAGTCTGAGAGATTATGATACTGTTATTTTGCTCAGGTCATATGTCCATTTATCAACCAATCACACTGGCCTGGGTAGCCAGGGCACTATGATAACCCTCCTGGGTCATGTGTGCATCTCTGGGGTAAGGTATCTGGTACTGCAGTTAATATAGGAAGGAAATTGTATCACAAACGAAGCAGGAGAGGATTGGAAGGTATCTGGGCAGACAAAATCTACAACTACTGCAGTCTGGTAGAGAGAGGGTAATTGAACTTATGGGTCTGGCGTTCATTTGCCAAGTCCAAGATGGGATCAGAAATTTGGGAATTGTCTATAACAGATGGTACCAGAGGCCTGGGAGTGGGTGAGGTTACCTATGGAGTAAGAAGAGAAGAGGGTTTATTGTACTGTAAAATGAATACAAATTTTATGTGACAAATAGATTTGCTAATTCATTCTTAGAAATTGCTGGCATATTGGAAGAATATGTATGTTTTTAAAACAAACACCTGTATAGCACTTACTTATGTGTCAGGCACTGTTCTAAGAATTTTGTAAGTCTCTATGCATGTAATCCTCATAATTCTATTAAGTTGATACTACTGTTATCCCCATTTTACAGATGAGGAACCTGAGGCAGAGATTGGTTAAGAAACTTGTGCACAGTCACACAGGTAGTGAGATACTCTGCGTTCAGATGAAGAAATCTGGCATCAGAGTTTTCATGATTAAGACTTCATGTATTTAAAGAGCTTTCTAGAAAACATGAAGTTTTTGTCTCTTTCCCTCGCCTCAATTCCATAACACTTTCAGATTTTCACCTGCTTCTCTGGATTTGTGGTGGGGTGCACATGTGGTGGGGTGCACATGTGTTTTGGCTCATCTGAGACTATGTCTCTGAGGATGAAAACCGAGAAGGCAGAACCCCGGAGGTTATTCGATTTAACTTGGGGGGTGCTCACCATCAGGAGAAACAGATGCTGTTTAAGTCAGGAAGAAATGAGTGTTCACTCCAAGGCCTGCTTCAGAAAGCCTCTTTGTTTTATGACTTTGGGTGCAAGCAGCCCTTTTAATTTTGTGTCTTGGATTCCAGCCATAGGAGGCCTTCTTTAATGTGGCAGATGGCTGGAGACAGGCAAGCCAGGTTCCTACACTCTCCATCAAGCTGCCTTCCCTAGAGAGGAGTTTCCTAATTATGTTGCTCTGAAAAAGAGAAGAAAAGATACCTTAAATGGATACATTAAACTTATACCACGTGTAAAGTAACCACTGTTTTAAACATCTGCAAACATGTGGAGGTCAGGAAACCTTTAAGAATGTGTTGAAAGCTATGGGTTTTTTTCTGCAGAAAATTCGTATATAGGTATATATATATATAAATGTGCACATTAATTCCCTGGTGGGGTAGGGGATGAGGGTGGGGTTCACGGATTCTCTGATATCCATCCCTGAAGCTTCAAGGAGTCTGTGGCTGCCAGACTCCTGTGCTTTGAGTGGAGGCAGCTGTCATTCTTTTCCTTTTTTTCTTTTTTCAATACATTATGATCTCAGCTTCTGAGTTATGAAAATAAAGGGTCTGTGGATTATAAGGGAAGCACTTCACACCAGAACACCAAAATTTTACTAGAAAAAAAAAAAAACTTCACATATTGGATAAAATTACTTTTGCATATTCTCTGGTCAGCATGGAAGCTTGGCTCATTCTGTTAAAGACTGACATGAAGCTTCTTCTGACACACATGATGAAGCGTTTCTTTCTCGATTATGGGCTGTGCCTCTGCACATCATTTCCTTAGAACTTCACTTGTCTCAGGACTTCTCAGTTGAGTCCTGGCTTCTGCACTGTTTCCAATATTAAGAATTGGGGGCAGTGGGCAGTCTGCCAATTAAAGAATAACACAGAATTCTCAGAATTTGGAAAGGAAGCGTTATTGTTTCCAAGGACTGTGCTAGAGGAGTCATGCAAACTTCACCATTTCTTCCTCTAATGTCCATGTGCCATAATGGTCTGAGGAAGGGAGAACAAGCCTTTGAAGCGGATACCAGGATCCTCTGTAGATCTCTGGGATATCATTCACTCATGCTTCTATGCTGGCTGACTCCTGCCATCATCACATTCTTCTAATTCTCACAGTAGGCTAGGCAGTAGTCACGTAGGCAGAGCCTTCTGAGCTACGGTAAACTATGTAATTAAGATACTGATTAAGGATTTTCAGACCAAAACCAATTTGCTTCAAATACTGTACATTTAAAAATAAAACTGAAAAAATACAGAAATACTTTAAAAATTATTCCAGTTCTTCATCTTCCATATATTGTCCCACCTTTCCTGAAAGTTGCCTCCTTCTTAGACATGAAAACCTCAAGGTGGGAGTAGGTCATGGGCTAAACATTCAGGCTAATTCTCTACATCAAATTGATAATCTAAACGATTATTAAACGACTTCAAAGACAAGGGCCATATCTTCCATAAACATCAATCCAATTAAAGAAAAACTCTTTGGGATCTAAATCAGGGCTTCTCAACCACAGCACAACTGATGTTTTTGGTTGACTCATTTTTGGTAGAAGGAGGCCATCCTGTGTGTTGCAGGGTGTTCAGCAGTGTCTCTGGCTCTAACCCTCTAGATGCTAGTAACAACGCCCTCCTAATTGTGACAACCAAGAACATATTCAAACATTGCCAAATGTTTGTTTCCTGGGGGTGCAGTCACCCCTAGTTGAGAATTATAGGCCTAAATTATCCAGAAATAGGTTTTTCTACAAGTAAAGTAAAATTGAATATTAGAGTTGCTTTTATCTGGTCTTCCTGATCAGGTGAATGGCTAAACCTTAAAGGCAGTTTGTCTATTTTGATGCCCCACTGACTATGTCTATCTGTTCAGATCTTCCTGCTCTACATTTATTCTTAGATCCCATTTGATTGCCAAAAACAGGAACTTCCTTACTTCATTTTTATGGTTCTGGCACGCCTGTTCATTTGCTATTTTATAATGTTTTTGACTATATAGATATTTAGTGTTCCCTCTGATTTTCTACAGCCTTTGATGTCTAGGTAATTTCTTAGATCTTCGGAAGGCTGCTGGTGTGCTACTAAAATCTCCAGTCCTCCCTTCTATGTTATCATCTCTTCCAACTTTAGACCTAAACAGAGCTCAAATAGCAACTTGGAGAGGTTGGCGTCTCTGGTTGATTTGATCAGTATGTGGTCACATAACTTAGGAAGCAAAACCGTTGGCTTTGAGATTACATATGTGACTATGAAAAGGAATCTTGTAATCACACATTCTTCTGACATATGTACAGTGCCTATAAACAGCAAATACTTTGTTTTGGGAAGGATTTTACTGGCTGTTTGAAGTGAGGCGTATCTCTATCACACAAAATATTTAAACCAAATTGCTATGTCCCATAATGTTCAACAAAGCACACTGCAAACATCAGTTCTGGAAAAAAAACGTATCTTCCAAGGCAGGATTATATGCACTTCTGGGAGTTGTAAATCCATGCAGGCTCCAGAAATATTTGCCTTCCAAGGGCTGGAAACTTCTGAATTAACAATAAATAATCAGTGAGTGTGACAAAGAGTTAAAGTACACAGACTTTACTTTCACAAAGTTTATGATGTAATAAAGAAGTTTAAGATGGAGACCTGAAATTGCAAACTGGTGGCCAGTAGGCTAAATCCGGACCATGGATTTGTTTTGTTTGGCTTGCGTGGAGTTGGCCTCCAGAATGTCTAACAGAGTGAGAGGAAGGGAGAGGGGAGGGGGGAAGGAGACAGGGAAAGAGAGAAAAATAGAAGTTGCTAAACAGATACCATTGAGATTTTGGCATAAAAATCTAAATTTCCAGCTTTTCTCAAAAAATCAGAATATCTGCAAACACTGGACCCTTATTCCCACATTTCACTATGGTAACAGTTGGCTAGAACGATGAAATAGCAGTGACCCCTTATTCTCTGGAACGAGGCACTCTCTCGTCTCTTCTCCCACTCCCCCTTCACACTTTTATGAGGCCTCTGTCACCATTTGAGATGGCCACCCATAATGCAGAGACTTCTGGAACATTTATTTAGTTTCTTCTCCATGGAAATAAACTGCTAGAGCCTGGAGCAAAACAGTGGCTGCACCATTTGTGTGTCAGGCGAGATGACCCTGCCTCAGGCCATGGAGGTGGTAATTGAGGTGTGAGAAATGGTCAGAGTTAGGATATATTTTGAAGAAAGAGTTAATAGAATTTCCCGATGGATTGAATTAGGATGTGAAAGAGCATTTTCCAAAATGACTCCGATTTTGATTGTTACTTATTTTTAAAAGAAAACCTATCATAAAACATTGGAAAGACAGTATTGACCTTCTAAAATAAAAACAAAATTATTCAAGAGCTTTTTCTTGCTAGTATTCTCCAAATCGGGTACCCTATGTGGTACCAATATACTCTGGGAAATGCTGGCAGTTTTGGAAATTTGGAGGAAAAATCATTGCTCCAATTACTAAGAAAAGAGAGTCCAGGAGATGGGCTGGTGTATATTAGCCTATACTCTTGGAAATGCTGACAGTTTTGGAAATTTGGAGGGAAAAGCATTGAGAAAATCTCCAGTTATTGAGAAAAGAGAGTCCAGGAGATGGGGTGGTGTCTGTCAGCATCTTTGGACCTCAGTGACCCCACTGCCTGCAGGGCTGGGTCCTCAGGGTATCTCCCTCTCCACAAGGAGGTGGAGAGGGTATGTTGTCTTGAAATACTGGGGTTGCAACCCGGTGTATGGACAGCCCCACTCCAGGGTCGGGCACCCGGCTCCATTTCCATAGGCCCTCAAGGGTTCCAGGATTGCCCCGTGGGAGGAGTTTCAGTGCTGCATCTAGTAAGAAACTGTAGGATGCTCAGAAACATGGTTTGAAGCTACTGTGCACAGAAAGAAGACTCTTCATTCAGGTTTGTATTACAAATCAATAAAAGTAGCTAAGTCGTATCTGAAGATGTCTTTGTTTACACTTTGTATATGACGGAAAATCTCCAGTTGTCTGTATCAAGGACAATTACCTAATTTTATTACAATGTCTGCTGACTTGGTTAGTGGAAGCTACTAGCGGCTACTGTGGTGGTGGTGGGAGCTATCTGACTCCCACTCCCAGGCTTGGTCATCGACGCAAACGCCTCCGGCGGCCGATCGGAAGTTGGCGTCGTCCGGCGTTGAGCCAGGCCCGGAGGCTTCCTTCAGCTGCCCGGGCAAGACACCCCTCCCTCGGTCCCGCAGCGGTCACTCGGCCCCAGGCGCGCATGCGCCGACCCCAGCGGGCGTTCTCCCAGGCTCCCTCCCTCCCTCCCTCCCTCATCCGGGTCCTGGGCGAGCGGGCGCCGTGCGCGTGTCCCGCAGTCGAGCTGCTAATAAAGTTGCAGCGAGAAGCGCAGCGACGGCGTCGGGAGAGCGCGCCCAGCCGGCCCGTGAGTGAGTGAGGGTCCGCGGCGCGCGCGGGCGAGCGGGACCAGAGGCTGCAGGCCCTGCCCGGGCGGATGCGGGCCGAGGCGGGGGCGTTCGGCCGCGGGCGGAGCGGAAACTACCCGGGGCCTGCCGGGCCGGAGGTAGGCCGAGTCTTGGCCTGCCGGGGTCCCGGCTGGCGGACACTGTGCGGCCCAGCGGCTGCGGAGGCCTCGCCTGCGGCCCGGGGAGTCCTGAGGCTGGGCCGGGGCTGGCCCTCATCCCAGTCCCGTTGTTACCACCCGGACTTAGGAGGGAGGCATCCGGGACGTCCTGGAGGGGATCCCCTGACCCCGCGTCTGTTCTAGGGAGCGGTTTGCTTTCTACGTCAAACTGATGTACCACCCTCGATACATCTCCCTGATAGGACTGCAGTGCTCGGGGGAGCAGCCTGGGCTTCTGCACTGCAAAGCTGTCCAATGGCTGGATGAATCCGTGCCGCGGTCGCTTTGTGTTTCAAAGATAAGGATCCGCGCTTATCGGTGGGAATTACACTCGGGGCAATTGTGACGGGCTACTGCAATCAGCTGGTAGTTAGACCTGGTTTCCGCCACTTGCCATGTCAGTTTTCACCACTGCAAGGATTTCTTCTACTTGTAAAATTCTCTATGCTGCAAACAGAATGCCAAAGTAGCGTCTTTTTACCTTCACCATATTCAGCCGCTGGCCAGGCCCTATGATTCAACATCAGGGCCCAAATTAATATTCCAGTCTCTTCCCTTTC